CACGGTGCACCAAGCGCGCGTCGGCTGCGTATACAGTCTTCTTTTCTTGTGCGGATTTTCCACGCGCGTCGTAGAAGTGCAGAAACCATGGCTCTTTTGTGAGAAACTTGCTGCATGCTATCCAAATGCAAGTAACGACCTGTGTGGGTCGTCTTCCTGAACACGCCAGACGACAAAGTGGGCCCTTTTCTTTTAATGAGCATATCAAGGAATGGGAGCTCTTCTTCGACTTCCATATCCACCCTGAATTGAATTGCTGCTTCCATGCTGTTCATGTGTGAAATTAACGCCTGAACCGCGTCTTGGTGAATGATGCAAAAAATGTCGTCCACATAGCGGGAAAACACCTTCGAAGCTGGACTGAATGAGGAGAGAGCTTGACATTTAATGCTAAAGTTATCCCCAAGTATAGGTCTACGTAAACCACAAATGAAAACAAAATGGTGTTTCAAATGCGATGCCGGGATACTCTTCTCGTCTTTTCGTTAATGTATCTCGGAAATTGCGCGTTACGTGTTAACATTTCGGGCTTTACGTGGCAAACCCACGACATGACTATAGATCAGAACACAGCGAGCTCAGTGCTTGCTGCCATATTTAAAAAGTGCATGACGCCATCTGTTGCAAGCACGACGAAGCAACACCTTCAACTGCCACGCGCGCAGACGCTCTGTAAATCGAATTCGAAACTTCACAACCCGAATTCGGCTGTAATCATGTTTCGCGTTGTTCTTGTGCTGGAATTTTATGCTGATTTCGTGTAAAACGTCGAGGAGACCTTCCTCGACAGTCCGGTATGTCTACAACATGTGCATTGCAGACGGCGGAAGCAACTTCATCAGGTACGTATTATCCGACTGAAAAAAAAAAACGTGAACGGTGTTAACTGCGGCGTGCCTTGGCCGTGACAAAGCAGAATTTGTGCTGTAAGCCAGCGTCAACCTAGCGCTATCATCTGGCTCCAACTTACGCTCATGCTCCACATGTGTATCAATTGCCAGTCCTTTCGGGCACTCAGAACACACACGTGGTGCAAAAGTGCCAGCCAGAATAAGTTTTTAAAATACTACGGTGACGCCAGCCGAAAGCCGATGTAGATTCACCTAGTGACAGTCAAGGCATGTCGCAGTTCAACCGAGCCGAAAGCCATGCTTTCCGCGCCGTTCACAGTTCTTTTCATCGCGATAGTAGGCTGTTACAGTTGTGCTAAACACGCGCAGCGCATGCATCCACGCTTGAGACTTAATACGTATATTCTGTTATTGACATGCGGCCTGCGAAAGAGTACGGCAACAGTTTTGTGCCACATACAACAGGCATACTGCAGGAAAATTGCTGTTGTAAAGTGGAACAGCTGGAGTCGCGCTTGAATAAACGCAGTAAGTATACTTACTTGTACACTTTACTGGGCTCGTAGTTTTTCCCGCTGAGAGTGATTGTATCCTATTTAGGGTGGTCGAGCTCAGCGTTTTTCGTAGTGGACGGAAATCTGTGCAATCGCAAAATACCGCACCGTCACAAATTCCGCGATGCGCAGTAAACTTCACAGGCAGCGCTCAGCAATCTTTTCCTCTTGAGCTGGTTGTTGTCGCATCAGATGACGGCGCAGTGGTACCAGATGACATTTTATAAGCGGGTATGGCAAGAACAGGTTCTTTTTCGCACTTTAATCTCTCAGAGCCACTACATGTCATGCTAACGAGACGCGCCTTGGCAGTTCTAAACGAAGTTTGGCGTCTCTGAGAGCGAGGGTGTATACCTCCGAAGGCACCTGGGTGCGAGATGGGCCCGCTCTCGCCTATAAAGAAAGCCGTAGTGAAGGACTCCTGAAATTTCGGCCACCTGGTGTTCTTTAACGTTCACTGAAATCGTACAGCTGGCAGTATTGAAATAGGACCACCACGGCCCTAATCGAACGTGCCACCTTCGGCTCACAGCCACTGTTCCACCGAGGCGGACATTGTTTCGTGGAAAGCAAGTGTATCTCAGTGTCTGTATTCTAGAATTCCAGCTCGTCTATCCCAATATCTCTGTTCCCTAATAATTTTTCTGGGTATATCTGCTCAGCCCTGCTGGAACACTGGTCTTGTTTTATTTTCCGAACGCTAGTTTCCCGGTGCAAGTGAATTGTAGAATGTGCAGGTCTGTGGTCTTTCCACTATTACGATTTTATGTGAAAGAAGTAATCGGAAGTTACGAATAAGCAATCAATTATTAAAACAAATATTCAGTCATGCACAATTCACGCACGAAAATTCACAAGTCGCTTGCGGAGTGAGTACGGAAGAATGGCTAGTTAGGCAGGTTGGTACTGATTCATGATGTACTGATCTATGATGCTTGTCCGTCTTTTTTCTCTTCTTCGTGTTTCCGTTCGTTTTTCGCGCAGTAAATCAAGGAGCGATTGCGCGCTGACAGGGAAATAAAAGCGTTTTGTAGCTTTGTTTTCTGCCTCAATTAGGATAGAAAACATAAGACGTAATAACAACCACTCCAAATAAATTGTGGTCATTCCCTCCAATGATCTGCAAGTGAATCCAAACGTTGTTCGCATTTTGCTTTCTTGACAATCCCACTCAATTACTCGCTGCCACAAGTGTTTAGCATATAAGTTTCAAGGCCCATTCTTCGTCATAAGTTCAGCGAAAAGCTACATACGTCAACCTTATTTTAGTTACGACTATCACAATTATAAAATATGACTGATTTTTTATTGGGGCGCTCAATTACTAAAATGCAGTCCATTTGATAACACACTTTAGTCTCCAATCAACTTTCTTATGTTTAACCGTATTGCAGTCAGCCTACTTCACTGTATCTATAAGATAAAAAACTCAGGGCTGTTAAGGAATGCTCTTTTTTTTCGTATTGATTTTTGAGCGTCAGCTTACTCTGTCAGCCCCACAAAGCTGTTTAAGACACAGAGATGTGACAAGTTTTACGGCCAACATATTCATTACGAATACAGAAGAAACATTATGACTTCCACGCGAAAGTGGCTCGTTGTGGTAACACTCAAGCAAAGAGACGCCCGGAAAGAAAGTTTTGGAATCGAGAACATTACCCGAAGGGTAACATAAATTAAATGAAGAAATAAGTAAACGTGCACCTCAGACATTTCATTGGTATTCCTGCAGACGAGAATGCCGCGGCTTGTAGGCCAGTTTCCCAAGAAAGCGAAAGTGACAACGCCGCAGCTGCCAGAAATAAAAACAATGCGTTTTCTTGTTTTTGTTGCGACCTTAACTTCCTTTCCGCAGTGGAAAAGAATAAACACTTGAGCAGTATTCCGTATATTTCATCCCCCAGAACGACGGCATTTCTTTTGCATGATTTGCGGCAGAGCAACATATATATGCATGTAACCAGTTCAACAAGCCGCTGTCCCGCACCGGGCATAAACATTAGGCCATCATTAGACGAGTACACTCACAACTACGAGTTCTACTATTATATAGTGAAAACAGCTGTCGCAGAACAATATAGAATTTGTTTGTATAGTGCAGCCTTGTTTAAAAAATAATCAAAAGAACTAAACATCAAGCATGTCTTAGGAACACAGACGGTATTGATTGCAGCAAAATTAACGCTTTATGATAGAGCCTTGCTCGTTCTAACTCTCGTTTCTTGAAATGCTCAACTCTTTACGGCTTTGTGACCCATTATCAAAGACACCCAGCGAAATTCAATAAACTTCACATACTACGGCATGTGGTATAGAGGGAACGATTGATCGAAAGTCCTTTCATTTAGGTGATGGGGATAAAGGGGGTGATGCTTACGGTGTTTTTGGGACATTAAACCCCACATATCAGTCATTGAAAGAGGCACTGCCAGGCTACCAGCTCCATATCCAGGGAGCACCGCAAGCATTCGATATGCGTACACAAAGAGTGATTGGTTTCTTTATTGACTCACACACGGATTTCCTCTGAGCCAACGAGTGTCCCTTCGGACGGCCACTGAAGGTTCTCATCAAGTGCCATTGAACTAAAATCAATGACGTTAGATGGTCGAACAATTTTTTTTGATGCTCACAAATAGAGCGTGCTCACTGTCGTTTGACAAGGGCTTAATTTATGTGCCTTGTTGTTCCTTGAAATAGGTCGACGAAGGTATACTTATGTAACACTCACAAATAAAATGAGATCATCACGCGAACTTCAATTCGCACATGGAAGTATTGGCAGTGTTTTAAGACCTTTATTATAAATGGCTGCATGGTTTCGTGAGTGACACAGACATTCAAAAGTCTCGCGCACACATGTGGGCATTCATGTATATCATATCCGAATGAATACAAAGACTTCTTAAGGTCGAACACTTGCGCGACTTTCTGAAAAATAGCAGCAAAGTAAATGGTAAACCTGCTCATCAACAATGTTTGACAATATTTGCCCTAGTGATTACTTTTTCGTGTGACCAAAGATGAGATTCGTATTTTGTACGACGCATGAATGACAAACAAACGAGTGAATAACCAGCTCATAACGATGAAAAGCCAAAATATTAGAAGCAGGGCGAAAGATGTATATGCTACATTACACCGTATATACCATTTCACTTTTCAATCGCACAACATGAAAACAGCTACGAACTCTGTGGATAAAAACTTGTTCAACATTTTATGAGCATTTGACCATCAAGTACTGGTCTCCAGTTTGAGAAATTCGGTATAAAAAGATGACGTTTATACAACTTTATGTCGTTGGCAGCTTCGGTCGTGATATTACCCAGCTATCTAGAAAACATTTAACTGCAATCTCAGGGTAAGTTCAGGAAGGAATTCCCTGGAGTCACACTAAAAACAAAAAGAAAACATGAAGCCGTTCAAGCGTTATAATACAGGTTACAGTAGAACGGATAAGCCTTTTACAAAAACGTATAAACATCAAGCAAAACACAGCTTCGTGTGCACCGCATACTCGTACACTGGTTTACATTGCTATCAAGCTTTTTTCCTGTCCTTGCAACAGGCGTTAAAAAGCACAAACGAGTGACAGAAACTTTGCAATCTAATTTACAAAATATTTTTCCAAATAGCAATTCACGGCTAACTTCACTGTAATACTCTTAACATATGGCCCACTCTTCGAGTCAAATGAGAGAATAAGCCCGCCTGGTGTGAACAAGTAAAGCGACTATAAAGAAAGTGGTGGATGAAATGCTCGACTATAAAACACTTCCAAGTAAAGTTGTGTCAAGACAAAGGATGAATAAGGGCTTCAGCAGCATCGCTGATTTGAGTCTCCGCTGTGGGGCCAATTACGCACGAACCAGTGGTTGGTCGACGTACTCCTTTTCGGGTATCTGAGCTTCTTCTGATGGGGCTGCATCTTCACCCTGTAGAAAAGTTCAGTTGAATTCGCTCTTATGGGATTTCATTAGTGTTGCCGCAGACTAAGTGAAAACAGTTTTATACATATCCACTAGCAACGCACAGATAAGCTGCACAAGCCACGTAGGTATAGCGGGAGCAAAAATCTGGTGACCAAAGGTGCCAGTAAAAAAAAAATTCCCCAAACGAACACACTAACACTGAAATCAAGGGCTCCAGCCTGGTTGTTCTCATGTCCATATTTATTGAGATGATGCCATACTGCTAGAACAACAATTTAATTTTCAGTTCAATAATTGCGTTGTTTACTGCACTGATAGTTCTGACTCCTTTAGGAGACAAGAATTCTGTAGCTAGTCATTAAAGTAAAGTTTTTACATGGGCAATTCCAATAATACTCGAGTTCTGTAAAAGCCAGCAGTTATTAGTGAGGAATCAAATTATTTGCAGTGCGACAAAATTCTTCCACGCCAGCCCCATTTCCTTATAGATTTCTCGTACGCACCTTGCCACATGAAGAACTCCGTGCACAGGCGCGGGACACTATCTCGATGAATCCCACAAGGAGGCCAAGTGCCACTCCGCCGCCGAGGATGAAAAATACACCGAGAAAGTTTTCTAATGTCATGACAAGGCCATCCTGTAAAAACAAAAAATAACAATATTTGATGTTTCCTAAAAAATCTCTCGTAGTTGAACACAGACGATACCACATGGCCATAGAACTGCTGCTTCGGAGGAAAAACCTTTATATAAGCTGGCAGTGCAAGTATCCGGACACCCGGTTCTTGGCCCCTCCCCCTTATGGGTGAGCGCCATCTGAGTTCATCACCATCATGATAGCCCCTCCCCACCAGTCTGGTCATTAGCCGAAGCTGCCACCGCTGGACAAAATTTCACTCTTCCTTGGAGCTATTAAGCAGGGTCTTCTCCAAGTCCTGTTCGGTGGGGTTCGGAATCGGGGTTCATTTTAAGTTCAATTGACAGACCCAGATTATACGTTGAGTGTTGGACACTTCAGCACAGTACTGGCGCTGCCCACCTATTTTTAGGCCATAATAATTAGGTACGGCTGAGCAACGTGCCTGTTTGTAGGTGCCGCAGCACGTGCTCCTCCGTTTTCGCGAGACCCTGCGCTGGTGCGGAATAGAAGCGTCGCTGCTCAATGTATTGATTAATTTGTGGGGTTTAACATCCCAAAACCACCATTAGATTATGAGAGACGCCGTAGTGGAGGGCTCCGGAAATTTAGACCACCTGGGGTTCTTTAACGTGCACCCAAATCTGAGCACACGGGCCTACAACATTTCCGCCTCCATCAGAAATGCAGCCGCCGCAGCCGGGATTTGATCCCGCGACCTGCGGGTCAGTAGCCGAGTACCTTAGCCACTAGACCACCGTGGCGGGGCCGCTGCTCAATGTAGTATCTCTGAACCCGGTGTGGGACCTTCAGGTCTACCAGGGCAAGGGGCAGCCTCCCGAGAAGTAAGAGCGTGGACCCTTGCATGTGCAGCCTCGTTACCCTAGAGAACTTGATGTCCCGGAGTCTATGTTTTGGGGTGGGATCGTGGTCCCTTTTGCTCAAGTGTATTAGCCTGTTAGCTAACGGAGATATTTCTAATGCCTGATTTTTCTCGAATGCTTTTATAAATGCAAAGCATTTCTTAGCACACTTTAGTGACTTTCAGCGTATCTATCTATCTATCTATCTATCTATCTATCTATCTATCTATCTATCTATCTATCTATCTATCTATCTATCTATCTATCTATCTATCTATCTATCTGTCTGTCTGTCTGTCTGTCTATCTATCTGTCTAGCCACTTACGTTTGGGTACTCTCGTGGTCACCCCCTTAACTTGGCGTGAACCAAAATTAGCATGGGAGGGTAAGATGCTTTGACGAATATGATGCGTTGGTCAAGACATGAATAATGTCACAATCCTATCGCGTGTGTCGTCAAACATTTCCCACCAGACAGTGGCACATACCCGGGCGGGTATGCGCCGCTGGTAAGCGGGTATGTGGCACAGGTGTTGACGCTTAGTATCTACCCAAGAGCGACGAGTACCCACATGGGCAATTTTAACGTGCGAGTGTTAAGAAACACCCAACATCGGTAGCGTCGAACCGACGAATGCAAAGAATAAATGTCAGGGTCCCAGCTGGAATTGAACCGAAGCACTCTGCGTGGCAATGAAGCATTTTACCACAGTGCTACGCCAGGTCTCGGAGATACTTTTCAAATAAAAGCTAACCTTCGTGAAACGTCAATACTAGTTCCAGTGCCACCTACCCAATTTTATAAACACCACAAATGTTCTCCTTTGATACAGCCTTCACGCCGGGTTAACGTCAATTGTAATTACTTGCCATTCGATTAGGTTGATTTATGTAGCATTGTCCAATACCAGCATTCGCGTGGTCCCCAGCGCTCCATATTAGCTTCTGGTGTTGCTAATACGCATGTTCCAGTTGGCATCATTGCGCAAGTGCAAACAACTGGCTATGTTAACATCCGCAACTCTTCAACATATGTCTGTGCGCGCAACATTTTTACGTATATTTAGCGTCGTTTCATCACGTGTCGCTTCAAAAAAAAATTGCAACACGGTCACCACCCCTCCGCATGCTTCGCATAACGTTGATTCCTTGCAAGGTACGTGGGATCTGCCAAATTTCTGTTTTGATTTAGTGTGAGGATTCATTAATGAAATGGCTACTTTCTCGGCCTGATTTTAGATGCGGGTATTGAAAGTGAGGCCGTCCACCGGCATTCCTTGTTGTATCACCGCCGCCGTGTTGTAACCCTTCGGTGACGGTCCGGCCACGTCAATGTAATTGATCCCATTGCGGGAGCCTAGTTGTCTTTCGAGAGCCTCAGCATTCGCTCACCTTCTGGCCTCGTACGCTTCCCTATACATATTACGCTGAAGCGGGGACACTCTGAGTTTGGTTATCCGAAGTTGAGTAATACGCTCAACGTGTTAAATTTCGCATTCGTGCCTGATGAAGAGGCGCCACCCAACACTCTTGAAAAATTTATTCAAAAGCTTGTAACCACGAGCAAAAAGTTAGTAACGGCAGATGTTACTAACCTCCTTGGGCCACAACTAACTCTATACGACCATTTTTCTACCCGTGTTAGCAGACGCTTGAAGGTTGCAACGGTATACCTTTTACGCCCCGTTAGTAACTTTTCGTCGTACACGTAATTGCTGAACTTGTTGAACAAACCTTAGAGGTCATTACCATGAGCGTATAACAACCTGTTTTGTAGCACAAAGATGTATTCCAGTTCACTCAGGCAATATATCTAAGCTTACTACCCAGTCTTGTAAATTAAGCCAAGTGAGGTGGTATTATGCAAAATAGACATAAATAATTGTTTATTGGACTGGATTCCCAGAGAAGGCAAGCGAGGTAGGGGGTGACAGAAGGTTAGGTGGGCAGATGAGATTAAGAAGTTTGCGTGTATAAATTGGCAGCAGCAAGCACAGGACCGGGCTAACTGGCGGAACATGGGAGAGGCCTTTGTCCTGCAGTGGACGCAGCCAGGCTGATGAAGATGATGATGAATTGTTTTATTGATAACATTGATTAAACATCCTACACTACGTTTCCTCGCGCACCTAAAAAACCGTGCGTTGTACAAATCAAGGCGCCTACTCTTGAAATGTACACCTTACAACATAGCCACCAATCGGGAGTAGCTGCGTTCCCCAAAGTTAGGGCTTAAATACTCCTGGAACTGCTTAGGAACTGCACTTGTCGCGTGTACTTGGACTCGCTCGCTGGATTTTGTGCCAACCGGTTGTGCCCTCGCGATCTCCGACGTCACCGTAGCTCTAGCCGACCGGGCTGGCCCTACGCCAGCTCCTGACGCTGATCCTCGACGACAGCGTAGCTCTGGCCTACTGGACTGGCCCTACGCTATCTCCGGACGCCGACAAGAGCTCTCACGAGTGGTTCCCCGTCCTCGGACTCCTGCAACCATGTCCATGTTTCCTGTCTTCTCCTTACTTCCGTCGTTCGCTGACCCTGCGTCTCGCTCTCTCCTTCCTCCCTCTCTATCTCTTTACCTTTTAATCCTGTCTTTTTAATCCCTTTTTACCCCCATCTCTCGTGAGCTACTGTTTATGTGTCCTCCCCCTTGGAGACAGTTACGGGGCTCACTTTTACCTTCTTGTCACTTAAAATCACTCCCCCCCCCCCCCGCGTGTACTTGTGTATGTGTGCTGTTCTCCTTTATTACATAATTTGCTTAATTACTCAGTCATATACCGCTACGTTGATGCTCACGAATAGGACCGTTATAAAACGGGTCATTTGCGAGGCAAAATGGTCGCGTCTGGTACATTTCTTTTTGTGGGTGTGAGGGGCCGTCTGCGTAAGACGCGTGTATTAATTTGTTATACGTCCTTCTATTAGCTTCTGTGTGGAGTTAAAAACTCCCAGTGCATAAAATTTCTCATTTGAAATGCTGACCGGTAAGTCAAGGGCGCGTCTGATTACTTTCTTGAGAATATCATTGGCTCTGCTCTCTTGGTGTTTAGCCAATCGTCAGTGCGGTGGTGAATTTCAAATTCGGCTAGTTACGAAGGCATGGCAAGCCGAAGCGCGTCCCTGCTTACCGCTTTTGCGTGAGACTCGGTGGATCATGTGCCCTACCTGTTTCCCAGTTTTTAAAGACGATACTTTTTCTTGGGGAACTTCGCCGCAAAATGTTTGGTGTGTCTGTCTGTTCTTTTGTCTGCTTGTTCACCGAAATTATACCTGAAACGGCCAAAATCCAACCACATTCGCAGTGATCTCTCATATTCCTCAAGTTTCTGCATTCATGCTTGTGTGATTGTCAATTCAAAAGCAATTATTGCGCATATCTGAGGCACAATAACAATGCGTCAATATTCCGTGGTGTGTCTCTTTTTACTAGAGAAGGCATACATAAGTGATTCTAAGGACCGTATCGTTTATCACGCTGCGCTGGCAATGCAACGCTATGTACAAAAAGGCAAGTCCTTCCAAAACTTTGCTAAGACTACATAGTGGTGGCACCTACCACTGATCTCTACTAGGGGGAGCTGTATGGCGCATAATCCCACCAACCCAAGAGTTGGTGGGATGAGGAAGTTAAGAGAGCAATACCAGAACGTAAGGAAGCCTCTAGGGAACACAGACATGCTAAGCAGTGGGGTGAACCGACAGCTAATGTTGAAAAAAAAAATGGGACATCTTTCTAAGCTGTAGAAGGGAAGCATTCCTTTTGATCAATGAACAGATTAGAAGAAAGGGGGCTCAGTGGCTGGCAGAAGTACATAAAAAAGATAGAAAGGCCGCTGTGAAATTTCGGAAGCCTCTAAACTCCCTAAGAAATGGGACGAGCCTAGTGCAGAGGTTAATAACTACATCTTAAGGTGCTATGCTCGAAGGGGACGAAGCTATTGAATATATAAGAAGGGTGACAGAAAAATTTCAACAAAGAAGTTCTTTACGCACCACAATAGACAAGGATGAATCAAGTAACGCAATGGCTCCATTTTCACATAGAGAGTGGGAAAGGGCTGAGAAGGGGGTTCCTAGTAGTACATCAACAGGCCCAGATGGCATTCCAATTAGGCTGATAAAGAAATTGGGTCTG